ATGCTTTATAAGAGGACCGATATGATATTCTTTTTGCAAACAAACATTTGCTTGTACAGATGTTTATAAAAAGTGACTTAGAATCAAATTAGGCCATTACTGAAAGAAGTTTGGCCAGATACCTGTTAAAAATCTCCATTCACTGAAATTCTGCACCTTGCCTGGGCGACCTGTTCCAGTGTGCTTCCTAATACTGAACTCAAGCTTTCTTTAGAGTAAATTAAGATGATTTACCTAACCCTCCCCACTGCGATCTTAGGGGACAGTTGACCATCTCCTATTCAGAACAATGTTTAGCATGTTTTGATACTTCTGCAGCATCCATCCCCATCCACTTTTCCCCTCCTCCCACCTCAATTTAGTCCAATGTATAATGACAGTGGAGTATTTCACACTGTCCTCAGCAACGAAGAATGCCCTCTTGCCCCAGGTCTAGAGGCAGCGGCATCACACTGAAGTGTAGCCTACACAAAAGAAATACTATTAAGTTCGCACAGTTTTGTCAGATTCTGCAGGCTTGTGTCCCCATGGGGGTACTGCAACCCACAGTTAACTGTATTGGCCCAGTGGTCCAGCTCTAGGCTGGAGCAGACAATTCCAGCAGTATACTCTCTTTGCTGTGTCCCAAAGTATGAGGCTGTCTAAAGTTTTGGTGCAGAAGCAAGTGCCTTTTCACACCATATGTATCTCTGAATAAAATATTTTTAAAAATATAGAACAAAATTACATTAGCTAAGCATTTCTAATGAAGGAAGGTATTCTGAATACAAACCATCTTACTACATGAGGATGAATTAAAGGTCCTCTTCGTGCTTGTATTGGAAGTTTGGAGGAGTGAGGAGTTTTTAAACTCTGCAGAAGCTCATTGCATAAACACAGATTTCACCCTTATTATAGATTCTTCCCATTCCACTCAGGATAAGGGCAGTGCTGGCTTCTGCACCAGCTGAGAAACTCTGCTAGCCCTTGACTAATCATTGACTGCTTTAGCCCTTATGACTGGTTCAATCTGAGTTGTTGAAAGGAATATGCTGAGATGTTTGCAGTCTCTTCAGGACGTGTGCACATCGTGTCTTGTCAGCAGGCATGTGCAGCCTGTATGCAAGCACTGAACTAGCTAAAATGTATATATTTATATTAGTACAGAATGACACTGAGCTAATTAATTTTGCTGCTAGGAGGGATACAATAGTTCAAGCTGAGCTTCCTGGCTACATAGCTACTACAGGAGTCACAAAGAAACTGCATCAGCCTATTTAGATCCTGCAGATACTTACTGATTTCCACTAAATAGAGTAGACTTTTCATGTGAAGTGTTTGTGTTATACAGAGGCGTTTGGAAACATGTACAACCAAGGCAGCAGTCCTCTATTACTGCCCATGGTTCAGGGTGGACTAACTGCATAGCAGTTGGAAAACAACATTATTCCTTTGGCTTATCTTGATACTTTGATGATTTGCTTCAGAAACCAGGTTTTTCTTAAGTTCTCAGCAGCCACAAACCTGAAGAAATTATCTGGATGCCATGTGGGCTCGGAATTCCATCCCAGCTGACCTCAATATAAAAATGAGTCCGGCGTCCTTGCTCCACAAAGGATGAAATTCAGCGAAAGCATCTGATGAGCAACAAAAAGCATTCTCCAGTGCAACAATGACTCTATGTTGTTTAATATGAACGAAGCTTCACAGACAAATGCAGCACACTGGTCTGGTTAGGTTATTGATTAAGACTACCATGACTACTCATTCAGTTTTATGAGGTCTGTATTACCAGTCCAAATAGTGTAGTCTTCTTCCAGGTACTGATTTTGTTCCTTACTTGTTCCAAGTGAAATTTCCAGATAATGCAATCAACTTCCTTTCTGCTTATTTTGGCATAAGAAGTGTCTGTGGTTGATGTTATGCTTCAAGATTTAAAAGCAGTTTTTAAGAAACTGGCAGTACCAACATATGCTCCAAAGGAGATGATACTTTCCAAACCTAGGGCCCTACAAAACTTGGGTACTTTGGCTCCAGCTTCCTTCACTCCGGACTTCTAATGCTGTGACTGAATCATAAAAACACTTTGTTCTAGGGCAACCCCCAAATCTAGCAGCTGTTAACAACTGGAACTTGAACCTTCTTACTGTAAGGTACATCCACGTTCTTACGCATATCTGAAGAGGGTGTTCAAGTCTGCATGGCAACATCCCATCTTCCAAGAGCTGCCCTCATATCTCAACGTTTTCTCCTGGTCAGAACAGACAACGTGGATCACTTTCTACCCTTCCAAAGAAAATGCAGAGTTTGGCTTTACGGTAGTAGTGTTTGGTACTGTTAAGATTCTGACCCTAGTCTCTTATCCCACCATCTGGTTAGGAACTTCTTTGTATGGTAGGTTTCTCTCTCCCCAGCTGACATGATACACGAGTTAAAATGTTGTCTTGGCTTTGAAACACCCTACATATAGCACTTGTTAAAAGAATTTACTTATATGATACATGTCATAATCTTACAAAGTACATGCTCTTTTAGGTGTCATTACCTCATGACAGAGGCCACATATGACATTAATACTATGATGAGGGTTGCTGTAATAGATTGCTTGAACTGCCCACTCTCTACCCCTTTCTCATCGCTTGCTGTAAGTTGCAGAGGTACCAAGTGTCACAGCTTGTACAAAATCCTCTACAGATTGCTAAATATATTACCAGTGGGTATTACTGCCTGCAGGTTACATGCGTTCCCACTGGAGCTTTGTATATGGATGCTTGGTCATGGTGGGATTCTGTGTCATGATTTGATCTAAGAAAGAGGTTTCTATTGTTACCTCCAAATTTTTAGCATGTATGCTCCTAGGTAACATAAAAATATATATCATTAATCAATATGTATTCTCACTGTGTTTCTGAACTAGCCTGGCTCTGTTTTACTTCCTTAGTGGATCCATAATATTAATTTAAACTCTTACTTTCCTATTAATTCTGATACCTGTTTTTCTTCCAGACCATTTCTGCTTTTATTGAAGCACTTGTTCTTGTGGAATGAGTAATAAAAAGCAAAACCGCATCATCTGTATTAATGAATGTCATCTATCATCCGTTTGCTTTTTCAGATTCTCATAGCCATCACACACAAAACAGCTCCATTTGTATTTTTCCATATGTTTAAAATAGGACACTATATGCCCAGAGCAATTGTTTTCACCATGTGTGCGCCTCCTGACCCATGAGAGCATAGTCTCAGTTCCATCCCCACCCTTGTACCTAGTGGTTTTCATTGACCACAGACCACCCCTGCCCCTTAAGGCTTCAGGCAAGGCAGTGGGAATCACTGTGTTCAGGGACTGGAGTTGAATATGGCTCGTGCAAGTCTGAACCCTACTGTTTTGTCTCTCAGGAGTAATATTTCCCATTAACATTTCCCAGTAACTCTCACAGCATGATTATTTCAGATCTGTGCCATCCCAGTACTCAGTCATTCCCAGTGTTCCTCTGAGGAGTTTCAGAGCTCAGGATTCAAAATGAGTTAATATATACCAGTAAGCCATCTGACAAATGAAATGGTACTCTTTCCTTTTGGATTCTATGTATGAATCAAACCAACCTTCCCAGCTTTTTTTCCCCCATTTTGACCATTATTTCAAATGAGATCCCAGACCTGTTCATTCTCGTCCCTGTCTTCCAGGAAACAAAATCCTTGGGTTCTTTCATGTGTTAGACTATGCCTCATCTCCATCAGAAATAAAATTACGTTATTAGAATATTGGCTCTTTGTACTTTGTTGATAAAGTCAAATGAAGCAACTTCTCTTACCTGTGTTTTACCCTGTAAAAGTCAGCTTACTTTCAGCCAGAATCAGGCCTGTATTGTTTAACTAGTTCTGTTGGTTTGGTTTACCATACTCACTGAAAAAATATGAAATAAAACTTTTCTATTCCTCTGGCTCTAACTGTAAATATATATATTTTTTCTTCACAATTAATCTTCAGAGTTAGGACAGAAATTACTAGCTTTTCCCTGCTGTGTTATCTTCTTCAAAATTCCAAGCAATTCTGTTATCAATTAATTTTATTCTCCAAATGGTTAGTAGTTCTCTTAGTATCTCACTTAATGAGACACCTATGTCCTACCAGTTGATAGATAATGGCTGGCTATGAATATTTCAGCCTTACAGTCTGAAAAATCTGATCCAGTGGCAGCAGAGGGAACATCACTCCTTAAAGCAAAACGAATTATTGCGTTTCAGGTCTGATGGGGCTTTTCATTGCATTTCACTGTTAGTAATATAGGATGTTTACACACATAATATTTTTATAAGTTTGGAGATAGTAGGAATTATAAGACATAAAGTTTGAGTGAATCCCTTGCACTCTTACCTGTTTAAGGACTTCTGCTAGGTGTTTCAGGGAGCAGCTAGGTTGTCTCTACCACAAAGATACCCATCTTCTTTATTTGCAAGTTATGTTGTAATTTATTTAACATTTGTGATACTGTGCACAGAAAAACCATGCTGAACAGTTGCAGAAATGAATTATTAATTAATTGGCTTGCAACCATCTAGCTGTTCACTAAGTAATATAGCCAGTACTTTCCATCACCATTCCTTTAATCTCCTTGGTTCTTTCTTTCTTCAGCCTTCTAGTTTCTTACAATCACTCATTCTATGTTGATTGAAATCACATTGTTAATTTTTTGGAGACTGAAGTTTCTCAGTGTTTCTATAATAATCTTAGCAGTTAATAATAAGGAGAAGAGTGATTTTTCTAGATGGGAAAGGGAGACCAAGAGAGAAAAACAGGAATTCTTGGTCTGATTAGTTTCTGAACATTTGCTGTGAAAATGGCCTTGCACTGCAAAGCAAGTCAAGGGAAATGACATTATAGAGGGTTCGGGTTTTTTGTTGCTTAGTTGTTTTGTTGCTTAGTTAATTAGAACTGGTTTTCATTCATCTAGTTCTCTACCACTGTTCTCCTACTTATTTGCCTGTCTTTGAGCAGGTTTTGTTTGGGTTTTTTGCAGGTCAGAATTAGCTTCCTGCTGTGATGCAGTTCACAATTTTATTGCTTCTCAAAACAACACCCCACTGGGAAGTAACATGAGTTACGAAGTGGACAGTAAAAAGACCATCCTCATTACAGAGGACATTTTTAAGATGCTGCCTGTGGTAAGAACTGTATCTTTACCTGTTATTATAATTGCAGTATCATATATATTTGGGGTTAGTAATATAGCTGCTTTGTTTGATTCCTCTGGAAGAGACCCTTCACCCCCTGTATGCACTTCTTTGTTCACCTTGTAACACCTTTTTTTTTTTGCCTTCCTTTGGAGTGGTGGAGGCACGGACAGAGTATCATAGATCAGCTTGTAGGTAGAGTTGCTATAGAACACAAGTTTCAGCCTGGCTTGGCAGCCAGCTGAATTCAGGAGTGAATCCTCTGAGAATGTTTGCCTTGCTTTTCTCATTCCCATTTCCAAAGGCATTTCAGTCTGGAACAACATTTCATATTCCTTGTATTCCCATGCCATTTCTGGTGCAGGCTTGGGTATATAACTTATGAAAGCTATTTTGGTGGTAAATCTGATACTGAATAGAACAGAACAGAACAGTACAGAATAGAGTAGACTAGACTATTTCAGTTGGAAGGGACCAATTCAGGGCTGAACAAGTTAAAGCATGGTATCAGGGGCATTGTCCAAATGCGTCTTAAACATTGACAGGCTTGGGGTATCGACAACCTCTCTAGGAAGCCTGTTCCAGTGTTTGACCACCCTCTTGGTAAAGAAATGCTTCTGAATGTCCAGTCTAAACATCCCCTGGTGCAGCTTTGAACCATTCCCACACCTCCTATCGCTGGATACCAGGGAGAAGAGATCAGCACCTCCCTAGAATCATAGAATCATAGAATGTTTAGGGTTGGAAGGGACCACTAGTGGTCATCTAGTCCAACCCCCCTGCAGTGAGCAGGGACACTGCTAACTAGATCAGGTTGCTCAGAGCCCCATCCAACCTGGCCTTGAATGTTTCCAGGGATGGGGCCTCCACTACCTCTCTGGGCAACCTGTTCCAGTGTTTTACCACCCTCATTGTAAAAAATTTCTTCCTTACCTCTAGCCTGAACCTACCCTGTTCTAGTTTAAAACCATTTCCCCTTGTCCTAACACAGCTGGCCCTACTAAAAAGACGTTCCCCATCTTTCCTATAGGCCCCCTTTAGGTACTGGAAGGCCGCAATCAGGTCTCCCCGTAGCCTCCTTTTCTCCAGACTGAACAAGCCCAACTCTCTCAGCCTGTCCTCATAGGAGAGGTGCTCCAGCCCTCGGATCATTTTTGTAGCCCTCCTCTGGACCCGTTCCAACAGTTCCATGTCCTTCTTGTGCTGAGGGCTCCAGAGCTGGACGCAGTACTCCAGGTGAGGAAGCTGAGGTCATCCCTCAGCCTCCTTTTCTCCAAACTGGACAAACCCAGAGTCCTTAGTCACTCTTCATAGGACTTTCCTTCCAGCCCTTTCACCATCTTTGTTGCCCACTGGGATGGGGCCTTTGTGTTCCTTCCAGCCCTTTCACCAGCTTTGTTGCCCACTGGGATGGGGCCTTTGCGGCCAGAAACACAGGTTGAGCAAAGGAATCAGATTTTGTAGCTCAGGACTTATAATAGATGTGTAAACTCTGGAGACCAGACGAAAAGGGACACAGGGATGTACTTAATTTCTCAAAAGTAAGAGCCCTATTACACATCTCTGGCATTCTTGATTTGTGAGATCCCAGCCTACTATGAGTCTAGTCCTTCCTAATGCTGCTGTGAATCACTAAAAGCTTCATTGCAATAGAGGTTATAGTGCTTTCAAATTTAAACTGAATGAAAGAAAAAAGTAGTATGTTTTATGTGCATATATACTTGCTAAGCTAGCCAGAGTTGTCTGGCCTTTGTGTTTTACTGTTTTTTTCAGAATTGAACAAAATATTTGAACATGTTGTTTTGTAACATATTGCCAGGCAACGTGATGTCTGCCCCTTCTCACACTATTTGCCTTGTTCGTAACAGTGTCCCTTCCTGCTTCTCTTTGGGCAGACTGATGAGACAATGAGGAAGGATAATGCTTTGTGTAAGCAAGTTTTGACTTAATTTTATGAGTGGGTTCAGTTTCTGCAGTCAAAGTAGCCCAGCTGTTGGCCTCTCTGTTGAATGCCAGTGCTCCCACAGCAGGATAGGCTGAACAAGATGTATGAGATGTTTCTGAGACCCCGGGATAACAGCCAACTATATTAATGTCAACTGAAATAGCCAACAATTTACATTAATTTGCCAGGTTGTGATCTGTGCTGGTTCGCAAGTGGATGCACTTAGCTCCCATTCAGCCTCCCCACTGCAAGGCAGCAACCTCTAACAAGAAGAGGAGTAGAGAGAGTGAACAGCTAGAAACAGTAACCCCTTCGGTTAGCCGTCACATTCACCGTGAGTTAAGCCAGGGCACATGATTATGCTTAACAGCATCTTCAGGTTCCCCTAAATTTATTATTTTACATCAAATATAATTGTGTGATGACAAAGTAATGAGCATTTACAAAGTTACCTGCTGACAAAGTCAATGACTATGTGACAACCCCCAGTCTGTTACAGTGCGAAGGAAAATGGGTAAATTTAAACTATCTTCAGTACAAGTTAGTTCCTTAGCTTGTCAAGGATTCAGTCCACTACTAAGCAATTTTTGTGTTAAGTATATTTAAAAGATACTCATCCAGTCTTAACAATACAGTGTTATTCCCTCAAAGTACTGACAACAGAAGTAGCAGTTCTCAGTCTGTTGGTGCCTATTTTTGGCTCTTGGCTGTCCAGGCCTGGCAACCCTGTCTGCTAAATGGTGAATGCTTTCACTGGGATGTACCAGATGAGGCAAGGAAACAACCAAAAGATTTATAAGGCATTGGCTGTGTCTTTTTATTTGTTTGCAGTCCTCTCCTCTTTCGGTCTATCCCTTCAAGACCTGTGCCGTGGTTGGAAATGGAGGCATTCTGAAAAATTCCAGCTGCGGAGCTGAAATTGATCGTTCTGACTTTGTGTTTAGGTAAGAGCTGCTTCATCTTACTGAAGGGTTTTGAATGTTTCTAAAAACTTGGCAGGCTTGGGAAGCATGCCAGTGCCAGTTTGTAGCAATGAGGAAGGATCTTGACAATTCTGTATTTCTGCCTCTCTAAGGATAGTCCTTCTGCTTTGTAGATTTCAGAATGCTGCTTCCTAAGAGAGGACTATATGGATACATGTATGATCTATGATTGCAAAGATACCTTGCCAGTGATGTGAAATGTGGTCATCTGAGAATCTGAAATTTCTGTCCATTTAATATCCTTTAGGAGAGAGAACCTTTTTTTCTTTTTTTTTTTTTTTTTAAATTTTTTAATCAGGAGCAGAGAATAAAGAAAACCCTGAAACTGAAATAAGAAAGACTGGAAAGACTAGTATTAAATGTCATATGTTTACCTTTACCTCTGGTCTAAGAAAGTGTTTACTTAGCCTTAGGTTGCCTCACTAATGCAGTAATTTAAATGCCCCAGTATATTTTGCACCTTCTGTTAGCCATCTAAAAAATTAGACATCTGATTTAAGTAGTTCTTTTCAGCTGCCTCTATAGATTGTGGAGAAAATGAGGCATACTCACAGTGTAATTTGGCCCAGTCTCTCAGTACATGACTCACCATTTGTAGTTCCCACAAGGGAATAGGGACCAACTGAAGGTTCTTCTCTCAGTGATGTCCAGTCACACAGTCTGCTGCACTTTGTTTCCTTTCCTGCTTTTGACTAATTGGGCTTTTCAAATTAAAAAGAAAAGTCTTTCCAGATAGATAACTGTCGTAATAAAATTGGGAAATCTATACACTAAGATGCTAAACTTAGTAAGTGACTGACTTTAAAAGATGCTTTCTTTACCTCTTACAGAAACCACTGTTTCTGCAATTGGGCAAGTTATGCTGTTGTTGTCTCATGAAACAGCTGTCAACATTGCTGTGAAAGCTGAGGGACTGGTATCAATCAGACTGCTTTTAAACAGAAGATAATAGAAGACTTTCAGAAGAAATGCATTATTTAGGCAAGAGGGGCAGTATTTTGTAGCAGCGAACATAGGGCATTCATAGACTGGCTCCTTCTGGGATTTTAACTTTGCTCCTGATTTGTGAGATGATTTATGAAAATGAGCTCTCTGTGCCCTATTTTAACCATCTGTACAGTAGATTAAATACTTTTACTAGAAGTGCTGTAAGCCTTATTTAATATTTGTAAAGTGCTTAGAGATCCCTGGGAGCTGATGTGAAAATGTCATTGCACAAGAGAGGAATTTTCAAATAATAACTGTAAAGCATTTCTGGTGCGCATCTGTTTAAGTAAATGTTTCTCAATTTCAGGTGTAACCTCCCTCCAACCACAGGAAGCATTAGCAAAGATGTTGGCAATAAAACAAACCTTGTGACTGTTAATCCGAGTATCATAGCTCAGAAGTAAGTACTACTACAAATCTGTTTCTGTGCAATATTGTGTAATTGTTTGACATGATTTAGATTTTGTTGGAAATCCATTGGGATACCAGCATAGAGAGCAGTGCATGCAGATTACTTCATTAAGCCTTACTTCCCATGTAAAATATGTACAGTCTAAATGGAAATCTGTTAAACCTGGCCTTTTTTGTAGCAGAAAGGAGTCAGCAATACCCAGATTAGCAAATGCCTTGGTTGGCACTAGTCCACAATTTATGACAGACTAAAATTGATGATTGCAAGCCCAAGCCTCTTCTTTCCCTCCCCATGACCCCCAACATAAGAAAGGAATTGTAATCATAAATCAGGAAAGCTTGGAAATGTGTGTCTGACTCTATCAGTAGGATTGTAAGCACATGTTCTTAGGTAATGTACTTAAAGGCTATTCTGATGAAGGCTATTTCCTGAATGGAGGCCCAATTTCTGTAATCCATTTTCTCAATCCATATGAAAGCTGCTCACACACTTTTTTCTCAGTAAAGTTGGGGGTTTTTTTCACCTTCTTGATGAAAAGAAAATCTAATAAGGCCAGGCTGACTATTCTGACATCTTCAGCAGGCTGGAACTGCAGCTTATCTATGAAAAGAACTGCTGTGGCATGTTATTTAATGCTTACTGATCTTACTGTATCTTATTGTCTGTCATATCTGTATTTGTCAAATAGACATCAGGCAAAGCTTTTTTTTTTTCCCATTTAAAGGAAGAAGGAAAAAGTACAGTGTGCATAGGAATGACTAACAGGCATTTGTCATTGATTCAAGGATAGAACTTTATTTTTTGCAACGAGTACTAAGTACATTGATGCTTACCCAGCCTTTTTTGACTTAAATGAAGATGAATTATTGCTTCCCCTAAAGCAGATTTAGCTCATTGATGTAGTGGGGCTTCACGAGAATATGAGGAAGGAAAACTTTGTTCAGTGACTCAGCATCATTGGTGGCTACTGACCTGATGCATGATTTACTGACCTGATGCACAATTTGTCTGGACTTGATCAAAGTGTTCTGCCACAGCTGCACTCATTTTTTAGCCAAGTTAAGCCACATCAGGATTAACAGGAGTTACACTGAAGGAAATAGGAGCTAAACCTGTGTGAGGATGAAATGAGATGATGAGAGGACTTTAGGATTTTAAAAAAATAATTATTTAAATATTCAAATAACACCATAAATGCTTTTAAAGGAGGAACAGGAAGCAACTTGGCACCATTTAGCAGAACTAAGTTTGTTTCTTCTCTCAGAAGACCTATTCTGAATTTATTAACTTTAATTTATAATTCTGTGTTTGAGTACTGGGTCGGTCTGATGTTATTATTGTTAAGGTTAATCAGCTTTTGAACTGTGTCTGTCAGGGTGTACAATGTAGGTGAACTCTCTTGGAGGAAAGAAGCACAATTCTTATGTGTCCTAAGGGAGCTGGGCTACACTGCACCTTACAATGGCAGAACTAGAAAGGAAAACAAGATGAGGTTGTGTTGTTTAGACTTCTAGCCAAGGAAGAACAGAGATCTGAATTCTGTCCTGTAGACTCTTTATGTACTTTACACTGAGTAGAAATAGAGAAAATTCTTGGAGACCAGAAGTTCGCCTTTCAGCCACTTTTCCTAGGCATAGGCTCAGGCGTTTCTTGCTTGTTTTGGCGGTGCAACTCACGCGTGCACCCGGGGCCCAGGGTCCCCAGGAGGGGCTGAGTCTCATTCATTTTGTTTCAGAGTCTGGTGGTAATGGTACTCTTCTGGGAGGCAGAAGCTGTAAGTTTAAACCCCTTCAGGCTGAGAAGGGGTGTCTCACTCCTTGCATAAGTTTGGTTGTGCAAGAGGTAACTGATAACTCCTCCATGAGGGTTTTGAATGGAAATGGCAGTGGCTGCTGTCCTCTGTCTTTAAGTGTTGTGTGAGAAGAGCATTTAAACCTACTCAGGTTGTGAAGAGAAATGAAACCAAGTTTTCCAGTTTCTGCTGGAGCCATTTGTGAAAAGTGGGCTCTAGTAGCCCTTAAAAGCTGAAAATACATTGTTCAAATAGACAACTACCTACAAAAGAGGACATAGCGCTTTGAATCCCAAAGGGGGCACGAGTGCCATATGTTCAGGTGATTCAGACAACTCAGGTCTATAGAGGAAATGTATCACTTCTTGGATAACTCTGGAAGTTGACTATTCAGTATTTGGGAACACAGAGTTATCCAATGGTGAGAACTAAGTCTCTTTCCTGGTTGTTGGGGAACCAAAACATCTGAGGATAAATCCTCTTCATTTGTGAAGTTAGATCTCTAAGTCTTTACAGATGTCCATGTGTTCTCTTGGTAGTCGAAGGAGATAATAGACATGCCTATATTTTCAGCTATTTTACAAGTATATCAAAAGCAGCTAAGACCCTGCAAAACTTGAGCACACACTAATCTTTAACACTCCAAGACTGCTCACATGCATATTTGTATTTCCACACAGGGCAGACACCCAGATTTTAGAGAGGTTATTGTATACCTATTGATGTAAGAAACACATTTCACAAACACATGCATGTATTTTTAAACAGAGGAAGTATAAATACAATATTTTTTTTACATTCTCCTTTGAAATTTCTTGAATTGATCAATTCTGTAAACAGAACCTGCTCTCATTAGCATTGAATCTGATCTGCTTCAGTAGCTCCTGTCTTGCCAATTCAATCCTATGAAGTGTGTTCTTATTATACAATAAAGCCAGATTTTCATAACTGCACATATGACAACATACAACAAGTTGTTACAAATTTGCAATGTAGACATGCTGAACTGGTGCAGCAGAGTTTGTAACTCACATATGCAAGTGCAGTTGTGCTTGTTTGGTCTGTAATGTTCATATCAATAGTACATTTCATTCACTCTTTTCCTAAAATGTTGTACTTTGCAGATACAACAAGCTAAATGAAAAGAAGACAGAATTTCTGGAGGATGTTGCAGTCTATGGAGATGCTTTCCTTTTATTGCCAGCATTTTCCTTCAGAAGCAACACAGCCACTTCTTTTAAAGTATATCACACTCTGAAAGAGTTCAGAGCAAGCCAAAGGGCAATATTTTTTCACCCCACCTATCTGAAAAGTCTTGCCCAGTTCTGGAGAACTAAAGGTGTGAAAGCCTACCGGTTGTCATCTGGTTTTATGATCACTAGTGCTGCTCTTGAGCTGTGTGAGAATGTGAAGCTTTATGGCTTTTGGCCTTTCTCAAAATCCACAGAGAAGATGCCAATCAGCCACCACTATTACGACAATCAGCTGCCTAAACCAGGTTTCCATGCAATGCCCAAAGAATACAACCAGATCCTTCAGCTTCATGGCAAAGGCATTTTGAAGTTGCAGTTTGGTAAATGTGAATCAGACTAAAAAGGTAGGTCACATTCTTACCACATAAAATATCTTTATTTAAGAAATGTGTCAAGGAAAAACCCTTTGCGAAAAATTTTGCAAACAGCATGGGTCTGTTCTTCCTTAGAGAGACATTTCTACCTTACACTCAATGAAAGTTGTGTTCATAAATAAGTAGTTTTAATTGGAGTTTTCTGAATAAATATAAAGTACCACAGAGTTGAGAAGTGTTTTCTAATTTTGGACTTTAGATGGGGAGCATAACTATATACATATTATCACCATAATTCACAGTCAATCAGTAGTGTCTCCTTCTCTCAGATGCGTGTCTCTACCAATCTCTGCCTGATTTGGTATCAGTTCCCATGAACCAGCCTCCTTTGTATAGTGCTTTATTAAAGGCAGTCACATACTGTGATCTACAAGAGAAGACACCAAATCTTGGCATAGCCTTTCCAGATATATACAGAGAGCAAAGTAAGGATTAAGATTGGCCCATGAAGGAGTAGCATGCATATGCACCCTTGTTCCCTCTTGTTGGGTAAATATAAGTTTAGAGCGGTATGCTCTCACAGCCCCGGGCTGCGGAACAGCTCATGGGCAGCAGTGAGGAAGCTGCCATACACTGCAGCAGATCTTGCTGAGGATTTTACCTTGAGGCAGCTCAGAATCTGGAAGTTACAAATATCGGATGAAATGTCATTCCCTTTCCTCTGTCCTTTCTAACTGTCCCATCCCCCTTGGACCTCTACCTTCTGTGTATTGCCTCAGAGAAATGCAGCACAGAGTCTGGCCTCTGACCATGAGACAATTTACTGTGTACAGATTACAGATGACTTGGAAAAGATTTGTCTGCATGTTTTCAATCTTGATTTGCCCTGTTGACAAAATAAGACCTATTTGTATAAATATTTCTTTGTCTTTTAAGCTAACTCAGAAATTCCCCTAGCTCACAACACTGTTGTCAGATTTGCCTTTCACAGAACTCTCTTTTTCCAGGGGGTTCAAGTTAATATAAAAGTGAGTGAAAGGCACGATAGAACTACCATTGTATACAATATGCTTTAGTTGGGCTGATGTAATCTCACAACTGTATTACTCAAATTAAATAAATTAAAACAGCATCATCTTGTTCAAGCCAGAAATTTTAAGTTCAAAAGCTAAGGGCTTTTCTTCTAGCTAGGTTCTGAAATGTATTTGAAAAGATCCTTTGATGGTGTTTGGAAAACATGCTATCAAAGATACATTCACACTTGGTTCATCGTCAGAGACTGCTATGTTTTAAACTAGCAGATTGCTAGTACGGAGAAGGCACAATTTTATTCAGTTTCAGTTCATCTGAAGAAATAGAAAAATAAACTGCTTCCATATATTATTAGAATACTATAAAACATGTGAGAAGGGGCCTAGAAGCCATCTAGTGAATCTATTCTCCTAGTCCATGGCAGGAGATTACCTAGGAGGAGGTGTGTGTGTATGCAGTTTCATGTGGCTAAGGTATGCTTCTTTGCTTGTAAAAAGTTGGAGCATATTGGAAAGGTTAAGAAATACATAATGTATTTTTCTTAGTGGCTAAGCTGTTTGTACCCTGCAGTTTCCATTGTATTTATTCTCCCTATAATATAAATCACTGGAGACAAACCATGTAATTTTAATTGTAGTAACTACACCAGCTAAGAAAATGAAAGGCAGCTCTTTATGAATATTTAATCTAGAGAGAAGCAGATAGAAGCCGCAAAAATGGTTGAGCATCTGTATGGGCTAATTAAATGCTGTCCATGCTTGACAGTCTGAAAATCACCTCTGTGGCCAGATTTGCAAAATAAGCTGTAAAGAAAAAAACAACCAGAAGGTTAAGTTGTGCTGCCCTAAGATTTTTCTCCACTGTGTTAATCGCTTATATTTACAAAAAGAAATGTTAGCCCTTTAAAACCAAGGAAATTAAATGCTTTCAGTATGAGCTACCATTCTGCTACTATTATCAACTATTAGAGATAATTGAAATTCTATAATGAGTATATTTCACTGGAGATGACATTTTCTAAAAAGTGAACAATCTCCTTT